CAATTTGAATGTTTCTAAACAGCTAAAAGACTGAAAAAATATTTGAAGTGATATAAAGAGGAGAGGCAGGGGGATACGGCAGGAAATATGGGGAGAGAGCTAAAACTAGGAGTCATTTGCAGGCTTGTATGGAAACCTATCACAGTAGATACTTCATAAAATATATACATATTATGGGGGAGAGAAAGCCACAACTAGGTATCAAATACAGCATGAATTATATCTAATTGAGTTCCTGGCCAAAGGAGCCCTATGGAAACTTCCAAACAACCAGGGTATTGCCAAGGCTGTTTATCGTTTGCTCTTCACAAAGATCCTATAGCTTACCATCCTAATATAACTCATTCAGCATGAAAAGTTAAGCTGGTGCTTACCTAGAGCCTTCACCTCTACCGACTGGTGTTCATGGTATTGAAAGGACACTGCTCTTACCAGGGGAGAGAGGCTACCAAACACCACCCCTCTATCTGACATTTAATCTACAAGATATACTGGGGCAATAGTGGCAAAAGGTTTTGGAAGTAAACAACCACTATCTGACTGAAATTAAGTCCCACTCCATGAGATGGAGCCCATGCCCAACACTACTCAGATGGCCAAGAACCGGAGACTAGATTGGTCATGGACCTAGGGGAAATCTAAATACTACTGTTCTGCTAAAAGAATGCAACAATAAAATGACTCCTAATGATATTCAGCTATACATCTAAATCAATGTCTTGCTCGGTCAGCGTCAAAGAAGCTCCCTCCTGCAGTAGTAGAAGGGAATATAGAGCCACTGGACAATTGCAGAGTGAGAGCCTTTGGGATACTCAGTCCTAAATGAGATGTCTCCATCAAATCCCTCCAGACTAGGTTCAGGGAACTCTAATAAAGGGGCTGGAAATATTCTAGCAGAGAGTGAAATGGCAGACACCAAGGAAACAAGGTCTTTTAGACACAACAGGGCTGACCCATGAATTCAGAGGCTGTGGCACCATGCACAGAGCCTGCATAGGTCTAAGTCAGTGCTGAGGGAAGAAGACACAAAGCCCACATCTCCAACTCAGAGGCTATCTCCAACTGATAACCACTTACAAAGGAAAAATTAGTTTTCTCCAAAGGAATCTCATTGGTATACAAAACCCACCCTTAAGGGCAGGCTGCATGTCCAGCAGCAAATGGGCAACACAAAATAAACCTAGTATTTCTGGAGTGTTTTCCTCCCCCCCACTTCCTCATAATATTTTGCCTGGGCATTTGATATTTAAGATCTTTTGTTTATATATTATGATTTCTGATTTTGTGTTTTTTCTAGAGCTTCTACATTGAAAATATGTGCATCTCTGTGTCTGTATGTATTTCATGTGCTTTTTCACTGGCTCCTTTGTTTATTTGTTCTGCCCTATTCTTGTTTGTTTTTATCTCATTTTTAAAAGATGCCTGTTTGTCTTCCAATGAGAGAGAAAGAAAGAATATAAATTGAAGTGGGTGGGGAAATGGGGAGGATCTGAAGGAGTTGAAAGGGAAACTACATCAGAATATATTTTATGAAAAAACTATTTTCAACACAAAAGAAGCCCTAAAAAATTGGAAGTGAAAACTTCCCACATTTCATTTAATATTACAAATATGTGATTATAATTAATCAATAATAAACAACAAATGCAATTGTTAGGCGATTTTTTTTTCAATCAGAAATAGTAGTCAGATGTTAGAATGCAAACTTTTCCTACTTGCTGACTGGTAAGAAGAAAAGCAAATTATCGCCAATAACATTTTTAACATGCAGCAGAGTTGACTGAAAAATCAAAGAAATGAGAAGGGCATATTGGCACATGGAATCCCAGCAGCTGGGAGGTGGAGGCAGATGAATATGAGGTCAAGACTAGGCTGAACTACAGGGGACCCTGTCTCAAAAAAGCCAAACCCTGAGAATAGGCCCCCTTTCTCCCACTGTGCATCCCTTCCAGGACATGGAAAGCATCTGACTTGAAATGAAGTTGGGTTACTACAATGACTAGGCACCTCCATGTTAGAGACACCCAGAGCTAGTATAAAGAAAGGCCCTGTGATGGACAAGTCTCGGTGGCATGACACTCTTAGTAGATGACATTCAGTAAAATGCATAAAGTGTTTCATGACATAAGCAATCACACACTTTTTTGTGTGATGGCTTAAAAAAAAAACCACTAATGGATGATTCATTTTATTTCACGCTAGTTTTAACTATCGCTATGCATAAAGGTCCAGTTTGAACACCATTTTTCTCTTGGCTATACAAGTTTATACAAGGTTAGTATCAAAGAACTGACCAATTATGGACAAAGTTTCAAATTGTCAATTTTCTTAGTTAAAAGTCTGATTATCTTGACATAGGCATCAAAATACACATAAAATTAAATTTTAATTAAGATAGATCCTTTAATACAATGTTTACATTATAAAAAAGACATTAAGTAGAAATATACCAGAAAATGATTATTATTATGCAGTGTTAAACCAATGCATAGAACCCATGTTTTAAAAGTAATATGCTTTTATATTTTTGGTTGTGAGCCTAGACTTTAACAGCTGAACCATCACTCCAGAAAATACAAAAACAACAAAAGAAAGGTATGTGGTTTTTATCCTATGGTCTATAATTCTAAAGTTTCATTTCTTCAGCGTAATACCAAGTAGCACAATTTAAAATCAGTTACCTATTTAATAGTAACAGTAATAATCCTAAAAGCCTTTACTAGGAGAGTTACCAAAAAATATGAACTTTCTTAAAGCTTCATTTATTTATTTGCTGCCAGTTTTTCATTTCTGGACACAAATCATTTCTATTCACTAGTATTTGTATGGAGAATGAGAGAGTGTGGACACGCACATGCCGTAGCTCTCATGTGAAAGTCAGAGGATAACTTTCTTTCAGGAACTGGTTCTCTCCCACCACTGTAGAACCGGAGGTCAAACTCAAGTAAGCTTAAACAAACAACAATTACACGAATGATTTTTTTTTTTTGATTTTTCGAGACAGGATTTCTCTGTGTAGCTCTGGCTGTCCTAGAACTTGCTTTGTAGACCAGGGTAGCCTCAAACTCAGAGGCATGCCTCTGTCTCCCTTAGGAATTAAAGGAGTACACCACCACTGCCAAGCACAATTCTACAAACGTAAGATTTGATGCCCCAAGGTCTTAACATTAGTGTTTCATTGTTATTACCCTAAAGCAAAGAAAAAGAGAGGCTGAATTTTTCTTAAATCACTAATAACCTTCTAAACTAATGCTCTTTTTCAAGATAGTATCTTTTAATATAAAAGTAAATTGCAGAAAGAATGGCTAGAAAAATCTAATGGGTAAACCCATTAGAAAATGCAGAAAGAATGGCTAGAAAAATCAAAGTGTAAACTATCATACAATTTTCTTTTTGCTGCATTAGTAAACACATGTTCTCAGGATAATGGTGGCTCTGGATTGTCGGATACATAGCATCCCAATTATTTTTCTGTTTATGAAACTAGTAACAGAATGTTCACAAAAAGTCCTTTTTCACTGCTTTTCAAGACCATACAATTACTAATGAAAAGGAAGAGTACATGATTTAACAGTGTACAAACACCTGCATTTACAAACAATCTGCCTGTCCATGTTCCTTATATATCTATCAACACAATTTATATTAAATACTTTCCCTGCAAGAATAAAAAAGTGGATTGTCAGGACACTGAAGAACAGATACAAAAAGTAGCGAATCTCAAACTCAATTATGTAAGCAACAAAATGGCTCCATTGACAACACAGCTTCAATTTTCCTAGCTTCGTTAGGAAGAGCCAATTGAATAGTTCCACTTTATTAATATGAGAGATAGAGCTGAGAATATAAGAACAGCCTGGTCTACAAAGTGAGTTCCAAGACAGCCAGGGCTGTCACAAAGAGAAACCCAGAGGTGGCAGGGGTGGAGTGGAGGGTGTCATGTGTACAATTGCTTGTTGGCCAGTGAGCCTTACTTGAGGTTGACCCTAGGTTCTACAGTGGTGGGAGAGAACCACTTAAAATCATTTTCTTCTCATTTCCCATTAAAAAGAAACAGTATGTAGCAACATAAAAGAGTGAAGAGTTGAGGGAGGAAAATGGGCAGAAAGGAATGAAGGGTGACACAAGAACAAAGAGAGCTGGATAGTTTCTTGTAAGACACCAGTCTCAAATGTACCTCTAACGTCTAGTGAAAGACTCCCAAGTGCGTTTGTTAGCTTAGACTAGTAAAGTATAAAAAACATTTGCAATGATGCCTACAAAATCAGTGAAACCCAGCTTTCAGTAAGAAAACAGTTTTTACTTTGCTTTAACAAAGTGTTACTATGCCACATTAACTTTTCTACAGGGGAAGAAAAATAAGCCAAAGAGAACCTAGCATATATGCAATTCAAATAATGAGTTGCCACAAAGTCTACTTTCTCAATACAATAATAGTTCCACACCCTCTAATTTACTATTACTTAATATTTTTGCTGGGGGAGGGCGGGGAGATAATGGGGTCTCTCTACATTAGCCTTGACTGTCTTGGAGCTCACTATTGTAAACTAGGCTGGTTTCAAACTCAAGAAATATGCCTGCCTCTTCCGCCTCTGGAGTGCTGGGATTCTAAGTCTGTGCTAACATGTTCTACTTACTTAACTTTGGGGGGGCGCAACAAAAACAAACAAACAAAATACAAAAAATGAAACACTTAGATTGCTGACTCTACATTCTTCTCCTGAAACAGAACAATTGAAGTCTGTGGCTTTTAAGAAGGAGGCTGATTAGGTTTGCTTCTCTTATCACACTGCCTTCACAAAAATAAGCAGGGATTCCTGGTTAAGAATTTGAGCAATCCCTGTCTTTTATACCATATATTTGATGAATCGTGCGCTATTTTCATATTTTATGGTTAAATAAAATCACTAATACACAACAACCCGTTTTTTATTAACCCAGCAATTTCAAATCAGTCTGAAAAGGGGAAGTTAAAGAAGCCAAGTGATGAAATTACTTACTGCAGGTACCAGCAACTTCTTCACTTCTTCAGCTGCTCTTCTCAGCTTGATCTCTGCTCTGTTCTGAGCATCTTCCACAGTGATCAGTACATGTAAATCTTCATTTAGATGCTCCCAATTGGGCTTGCCTCTGTTTTGCTCCTCCTTAAAAAATTGTACAAAGCACAATGTCATTAACTGTTTTCAAAGACAGAACATGTATTCTGTAACATGAATCTGCTGCTAGTTGCTTATAGCCATGCTTGTATTATTCTACTACAATGACTTAAAGTTTTTCAATTATGTTCCAAACCCAAACCAAAGCCTGGCAATGGGACTAGTCAGTCAATAACTCAATAACTATCGATACTGCAACTAAGTATCCAGCTAAAGCCATAAGTGACCAAGACAACCACACATATGGCAGTACTCGAGGAAACATGCAGTGTCATTTCTAAACTACAATGAGTAACTTTGAGAAGCATGTCACTTCTCTATTTTACTTGTAAGAAAACAAAGTCATTATGTTGAACATCACTTATCAGTATCACAAGCCAACAAGCTGCCAATTAAGGTGATGACTCAAACTCATTCTCCAATTTAGTGATGCCTCCATTCATTACTAAACTTTAAATAATACTGGTTCTAGTCTATACTACAAAATTTCAAAATAGGTCCCATCATGTAAAAGAAGTACTGTTTGCTCTAAGTATTTCAAGTAGTAATTATTTTAACTGTGTTTCCACTGGCCTTTTAAAATGAACAGTTGAGATCTGCTCAGCAAAGGAGCAGCATTCTTCTTTGGGGAAGTGGTCACTGCTGCTGCCCATGCTCAGTGAATAGCATGCACATATAGGTAAAACTACATGAACTTAGGGACTTTTAAAAATAAAAAATGATGGACATGAGCTCTGGAGATCAACGTGTGTTTTGAGTATCCTGGGCAAACTGGAGGGGGTTTAGATTTGATATTTTATTGTATATACAAACAAATTTTTAAATAACAAAATAAAAATGAAGTATAAAGTCTACTCTTGCATTGTTTCAGGTCCTAAATACATGTTTCATAGATAATTATCTATGTCTCACCTCTATGATAACTTCTGACTACCAAGTGAGAAATATACTTAGATGCTGAAAGCCTTCTCAAACTACTTGTAAGATTGGGGCATACAGCCACGAACACTTTTAGACAACTTATGAATGTACAAATTCTTAAACTTGAAAAACAATTTAAGAATGGTGAGTGTAAATATGACTAGTACACAGACTTAAAGCAAATTATCAGAGATAAACAATAAAAATACCCGTTGTCAGACCTTTCCTGTGAAGGCCATTAGTCTCTTAGCGTGTCAATTACAGACAAAGGAAGCAAACTGGTATGATAAAACAGGCTTCCTTATTAATTTTCACATTACTGAGAATAAACAATCAAGACAGAAATACGGTCTACCAAGTACAGGATTCTATTTTATCATAAGTCAGTAACTTTGGTAGGAAAACAGTCAAGGTTAAATGGATCTCAAGGAAAAATAGCAATAATCAAACACTATGCAAACAAGAAGCCCAGAGCCTATCTGTTTCAGTATTAGATCACATCACCTTGTCTTTAACACACATTGACAGAGCTAGGTTTTTGGTGGTTACTGTATTAAAAAGCAGTTCCATGAAAACATTAATGTGGAATAAAATGGTGGCAGTGCATCATCAAAGAAGCTAAAGAGCACCCAAGAAAACAATTTAATGTGGCTACTTGAAATATTTTCAGTTTAAAAGATGGGTAGTGGTGGTGCATGCCTTTAATCCCAGCACTCAGAGGCAGGTGGATCTCTAAGTTCGAGGCCAGTCTAGTCTACAGATTGAGTTCCAGGACAGGCTCCAAAACAATACAAAGAAACCCTGTCTTGAAAAACCAACCCCCTGTGGACCTTGCACATACATGGTGTACAGACATTCGTGCAGACAAAACATGAAGTAGTAAGTAAATGAATGAATAAGGTAGAGAGAGACTAAGGCACTCGGGCACGCACACACACACAGTGGTTGTGGTGGTCATTCAAGATTGTAAATTGGACACATATGATATGAAAAGTCAATTAAAACAAATCGTAATCAAAAAAAGACTTAAAAAAAAACCACCATGTTCTAGTAATGCATACGTACACTAAGGGAAGGAAAAGCAAAGAGTACAATTAAAAACATTTCAGAAAAGCTAAATATAAAAATAAAACAATAACTTGCCACAGAAAATAAAAAAGCCAAAGAACTTTAAGAAAATACTATCTGCCTTGTAGGAAGACCGAACAATAATGCAAGGTAATCTTCTGAGTTGTAAAATACTTCTGCAAATGTGTCTTAATAAACTTGTCAGCTTAAAAGTTAAGAAAAAAAGCCTCACCTATCCTTAATGTTTACTTCAAAATAAAAATTTTTGCCCACAAAACAACAACAACAACAACAAAACCCACAAAGAACAAAAGCTTTCACTGATGCTGATGTAGAGAGTCACAGGGTTCAGACCAGCCTGGATCACACAGGACTCCAACCATATACTACTCTGTGGTGGCAATGTCTTTTCAAAACCACAAGACAAAAAAATATATTTCTAAATATAACAAAGTGATACCAAACACAGTATAACTACCATTATATAAAAATATGCTCCAAGTTTTCATTTAATGGAGAAAGAAATGACTAGAAAATTAAAGCAAACAGCAGAATTCAGTATCATTACATTATTTTCAAATAAATAAAAAGACAGACATGACTTCTACATAATAGTTTACAATGCTTATATTCTAAGTTACATATATAATGCAGAAATAAGTTTTTCTTTTATTCGAGACAGGGTTTCTCTGTGTATCCCTGGTTGTCCTGAAAATTGCTCTGTAGACCAGGGTATAGACTCAGATCTACCCACCTCTCTCTGCCTCCAGAGTTGTGGGATTAAAGGTGTACACCACCACACCAGCTAGAAATAAATTTCAAGTAACTTAGCCTCTCAAGTTTCGGTAAAGCTGAAATCACAATAAAGATAATCATGGCAGCTAAATTTTTAGTGAATACTTACTGTCTGTGATATAAGCATCTCACCTTGTGTACTCCTCTAAACTAAAATTACTTCAGTGTAGTACTATAGCTCTTGGCAGCATACCAATCAGGAGGCTGAGACAACCATAGCTTGTTCAACTTATGACAAGCTACTGGACAAATTGAGGGCACACTTGGGACCCTATACTCTCACAGCTAGTTCCTACCAGAAGATGTTGCCTGTATGAGTCCAACAACTGAGCAGATAGTCCTAATGCAACACCATTAATGAAAGGTCAGAAAAAAAGAACACATTTCATGAGCCTTTAAATTCTGCTTTGCTATTTATTCTAACCATATTTGAGTGGAATCCTAAGCACACCTTGGCCAGAACACACAGAGGCTATTTCCTGTATCAAGAGAAGCGTGTCAAGCAGGGAAAGAAAGGCACATGGCAAGCAGACATCTACAGGAAACACATTTCTTTAAAGGAGAGGACCATGAATAAAATTGTAATGATACAAGCATTCAGAGAAGGCTAAAAATGCAGCCATTTAAAAACACAGAGAACTCTTCCCAATCCCAATGCTGCTGTTTTGTTTTTTGTGTAGCATTAATACCACTGTCTGTGGACAACTGTTTCTTTAAAAAAAAAAAACTATTATTTTTGAAACTTCAACATCTAGGGGCCTAAAACTATGATTTAAAAAACTATTCTAAACATTTGAGAAACTACTACTGTTTTTATTAGTTTGGTATGGAGTCTGCCTGTTTTATAGTTTAAAACTCTGCTCTAATTACACAACTTGTTTTCAAAAAGGAATTCCGTACCATGAAGCATCAGAGCAAACTGACTATCCACCCTGGTAAGATTCTTTAAAGTTTGTATATGCAGTAAGGCAAATCACAGTAAGACGCACTTCTGTGCTCTTAGGGTGAAAGCTCATCGGCTTAAACTTGGGAAATAGTTTTTTAAATGTATATACTGAACTGAAAGTTTCTAACAAGTTTGTTCATCAGCTTAAAAATCAAAACTTACACATAACAATTTTCAGTTACATATGTAAGGGGATATAGATATGATAGGATAAAAGGGAAGATTATTGAATCTACTCTGAAAAGAAAACAGGAAAGATATAGCTAAGATTAAAAGGTTAATCACTGAATCTATTTCTAAAAACTACTAGTTTTCAATATTTTACACAGGATCAGACTTTTGAATACTGTATACAAATTTGAGATTGTTATTAAAACATAGTGTACATGTTTCTAATCTTGTTTAAGGCATTGTACCTATACAGCTCATTCAACAATTTAATGCAAATTTCTAATTCTTGAAAGTTATTATTAACAACTGTTTAAGATAATAAGGAAATGCAGGTTAGCAATTAGGCACCTATAACAAACTTATTCTCATATTAGTTATGTTTTCAAGATCAAAAAGAGATATAGTTTAGATAGGTTGAATTCAAACACTTCAGAGATAGACCAATTATGGCATTTAAGATGTTTTAATAAACTGGTTTTTTTTTAATATGGCAATGAGACATGTCTGCCCCTGGTAGCACCAATCTACTTTACAGAAGATGATGGGCATAAAAAAACAAACAAACAAACAAACAAGCAAACAAAAAAACACCTCCACATGGAGTTTACTTTCTTTGTGGCAAAAGTAAACCACCGAGCAAGAAAGTGCTCTTGCCTCGACTGCTGACAGTATGTTGTCGTAATTGGCCAAGCAGGGCACAAATGAGGGTTACTACCAAACCTTGCCAAGACAAGGCAGATCAATCCTTCAGAAATCCTGCTTCGCAGAAATGTCTTTCAAATATTCTAGGCCTGTAGGCTGAAGATAGATGTCCAACGTTGCAGGGGAACCCTGGGTGACTGTCCAGGCAGCCAGTTGTTTTTGTCATTTCTCACACATTTTCTGGAAGTCCCTTGCTTGCACTTCCTGCTTACTCAGTTAATATTATTTCCTTTTAGGGGCTCTGAGGGAATTAAAGACTAAATAGTTATCGTTTTCCTGTTTACAGGACGAAGCATGGAAACTCATTAAAGAGGTTTAAAGTGTACAACAAGGTTGAGAGGTATCAAAAGATAGTTTTGAATAGTAATGAAAGTAAGGATAGAAA